ACATTTCTCCAGATCTGATGAAGAAACACACTCATCCTGATCTTAGATGGCCTGAGGGTGAGCACATTTACAGCAAATGTTGATTTTTGTCTGAGTGTGTGTGTGTGTGTGCGCAGATGTCGCAGCATCAGGTTCACGCTGTGCAGCAGCTGGCTAAGGTCATGGGCTGGCACGTGTTGAGCTTCAGTAATCACGTGGGCCTCGGCCCCATCGAGAGCATCGGGAACGCCTCCGCCATCACGGTCACGTCTCCCAGCGGAGAACATGCCATCTCAGGTGCGTCTGAGCCAGCGTTACACATGCTTTATTACAGCTGACCTCACTGCAGCTCAGAGAGATCCATCAACAGTGATGCATGATGAAGCTGAGTGACAGTAAATAAACTCTATATATATTCAGAGCCCGTGTTTCGTGTCTGTCTGCAGTGCGCAACGGTCCAGAGAGCGGCTGTAAGGTGCTGGTTCAGTTCCCACGCAATCAAGCCAAAGAGCTGCCCAAGAGCGACGCGGTGCAGGACGCCAGATGGACGCACCTGAGGGGCCCTTACAGGGAGGTGCACTGGGGCCGCATGGAAGGAAGAAACTTTGTGTACAAGATGGAGCTGCTGATGGCGGCCCTGACCCCGTGTCCCTAGAGCCGCAGCGGTCGTGTCTCTTCACTCTGATCGCTCTCGGGCTTCGCCTCTGGAGTCACCGTGTCATTTTTCTGAGAAAAGGTCAGTGATGGCCAAAGCACGTGTTGGAAATAAAACATTTGTACTTCAAGATCTGCAGTTTTCATTGTTGTCAAAGCAAGTCTGTACAAACAGAGGAAGGCGATCCTTCTATACACCAGAAAAGACAAACTGAGATAAATAGAAGATCAAGCAAAACTCTACATTTAATGAGAGCAACCCGTGCAGGTATTCATCATTCTGCAAAGATGTTTATTCTGAACCTTTACACACAAAAAGATCAGACCCATCTCGGCCAAAACGCTCAAACAAAACAAAAACATATTAAATATGTTATTTGTTAGACATTACTATTTAGCAATCATGACATTGAGCCACTTTTAAATCTTTTTGTCAAACCAAATATTATAATTGAGGAATTCTGTTAGGATTGGTACCTGAACCACAAAGAGAAATTTGCCCCTGCAGTATCCGATGATTTTCAAAAACTTTTAGCAATTAAAGATAACACACAAAGGACATGCACAAGTCTTCCAGCATCAGGTACCAGAGAGGAAGTCCTCTGACCGTTTGCGACTGGCACTTCCTGTCGCTGGACACAGCAGTATGTTGTGTAGCGATGTTC